GCATAGCGATATTGATATATAATCTTTCTGGCAAATAGAAATTATAGTTTAGTATTCGATGCTGTCTTCATCTAATCTTAAGGGCCTAAATGCACAAAGATGAACGTAATTGAATCGTGGAACGTAAATCGTATATAGGTTGATCAAAACATTGCGTTGACCTACAATTCATGTTTCACGATTCAGTTATGACTATCTTTGTGCTGAGACCCTAAGGTCTCCTGAGCAGTAAGTTCTATAATATATTGGAGCGAGCCATCGAGAAATGTCTTGATCAATTCCTAAACAAGAATACTCTGATGCACTGTTTTCTTTGTCAGGAAGGTTTCGCTGATTGCCTAATGTTTTACTACCATAAATAGAAAAAAGTCAGAAAGATCAATATTACTTGCCTTCCTTTGTTGGACCGCAGTTTTTTATACTTTAGTTAAGGGAAGGCTTGCTCCAGTATATTATAAAACTCACTGCTCCTGAGTAGTCACTTCAGCCAGTTATTGAATTTTCGTGTTATAAACAAGAAATATACGTCATAAATGACAGATTGTTTTCTTGTATGCCATTTGTTTACTCCCTTCCCCTGATAATCAGCAAATAGTCGAAAAAGGCTTGTAAAGTGAAAATAAGCTACGCACGTGCATTAAGTAAAAACTAATAAATGCACTTTATGTGCATTTTTACTATCAGAAGACTATTTACTATCAGAAGAGATAAGGATAATTCTAGCCCATTTTTACAAGTGTTTTACAAATGTACAACAATTCCATTGTTTCATTTTATTCAACTTGTCTTTTACAAATGGCGTGTAAGAAAAATCAACATGTAGTTTTCCAGCAAACGAGAACGGATTAGATTGGATAAATCCATATGAATCAAGTTTTCGAATCCGCGTTATCCACGAAAAAGATATTAAATTTTGTAGAGACTGTATACGTTTCTATATGTTTAGATAAATATAATAATGTAAACTCTAGTGGATTCATAAATGAATAGATTCAGAAATGAAATGTCAGTTTGCGACCCCAGAAAGTGATTTATTGTTGAAAAATACGCATCAAAATGATCACAGATATCGTTTCTTTTCGAATGAGTCCTAGTACTACATACATAGAATATAATACAACCTTACATTCACAAGATTCACAGGAACAGAGTGACTCTCGACCTGCACTGTCGTAGCCAGAGTTATGTCTAGAAATTATCTTGCCATGGATCCGCAATGTTACACACTCTGTATTTCACGTAATCATACTATGTATGTAATACTAGTCATCGATCTCGGCAAGTCATAACATGCACCGAGGTATAGTATGCCTTCCAACAAGCGACACAAATGACACGATGACACAATGGATCATTACATCCTTATTGTTTACCAATATTAAACAAAGATGACATGATCACTATGTCGCACTGTATCGCTTGTTGCGAAGGCATATACTATATTACCTCGGTGCATATGTTATTCAATGACTTGCCGAGATCGATGATTAGCATTTCGTGAGTCTCCCGTGTTAAACAATTCTTCATTACCGCACGTTAAATTCAAACAAATTAGTCGCACGTTCATTGAGTTGAATATAGGTAAAATACTATGTAAATTACCAATGCATAATTACGGATTCAATCGGATCGGTCGCATGTTTCATTTTTATGCACATTGGGTGAGATACAGAAATTAAATAATCCATAATTACTGATTCAAGCGGATTACGGATAGAAAAAAATTTTTTTTATTCAAAAAATTCGACATCACTTCAATGAATAATTTTCAACATTTTTCAATAATTTCTCGTTTGCTGGGTTATAATATGATTAAAGTAACTACTCAGAAACCTTAAGTATAACTAATTTGCAAAAATCCTAAATTAATCCCGAATTTAATTTTAAAGTGTATGTTAAAATTTGCAACACTCGCCTTAAAAAATTAATTGATATTCGTGACAGATCAATATACTTTTAAATGTATCTTTACTTAAAGTTAACTTAATTGAACAATTTTTTTTCATTTTGAAACTCAAAATTCAAGAAATAAAATTATAACTTAAAAGTATGTAAGATTTAAAAAATATTTATTATAAATAATTTTTCATAATATAGTTATCCGAGTCCACTAGATCCGCGAATACCGATTAGAATTAAATTAACTATAAACGCAGATATAGCGTAAAGTCCAACTTTTTAAATAAATAATTTCAAATAGAAGAAAAAGAACACAGGATAATAACGTGCGTAAATATATTTCAAAGAGCTAAAAATTTGCTAGTGATCATTTTTATTTTGAATTAATATAACACAAATATCATAAAAAATACATAAGATCAAAATACTTAAATATGTTTCTCATGTCATGACAGAGAATTCGATGTGCTCCGTTTGTCACAAGACGCTATCTAGCATCTTATTATGTAAAATCGAAATAGCGCATGTGTTGGAAGAGCTTCTTTGGGAATAACGAATGTGTAGGTGCATTCCATTTATATGAGTCGGTTATATTCAGATCTTTCGTAATCAAAATCGGAAATAGCCGGTGACCAAGAAATTGATTCGGCAAATCTCTATTAGGTTCGTGGCGTTTTTTTAATGCCACCTAATGGGAAAAACGCCACGAACTTTTTCTCACATCTAATATTTGATGATACACTTGACATAAAGATTAAGCGCGAAAAATCAACAGCTTTTGGCGATTCGATCGACTGTTAATAATAAAAAGACGCTAAATTCAGCTAAATTTCGATAAAATTCGATAATTTATTTAGATACTATATGTATATATTGAATTATATTAGCATCTTTCTTCAATTCAATATTTAGAAAGAAAGGTCGATATAATTCAAGTTACTCCACTCTTTTCAAATAGATTTGCTCGTTTTGCTTGAAATTTCAAAAAATTTTTGCATTTAAAAGGTGATAAGTATATA